ACAGAAATAACAATATTGCATAAACTTAACGAAGAGCGACAAATAGCTCTCCCAGCTCACAGTTGGTTGAGAACAAGAGGTTGCTTAATTGAATCCTAGACAGGACACATGCCTGGGTTGCATGCTCAATCCCCACTGCGGATATGATGTTTCTTTCTCCCTCTCTCTCTAAAAGTCAATAAAAATTTAAAAAAATAAAAAAAGAAGGCTGATCGTCAATGGTCAGTAACACTGCGTCATCATTAGACATGTTCTCTAAGTCTGCCAGGAACTGTTGTTTAATGTTATTAAATTATATTAATAAGTGAGTCTGAGCAGGCATTTGCTTCCTCCTGAGAAATACTTTCCTAATCTAGATTTCCTGTGTGCATTTTCCCACAACTTGTTGCAAAGTTTTCTAAAATTATAATATATGCCCATGGAGGATTTGAGTGGACTTCAGGAGGAGGTCATGAGAACTGAAGTGCAGTGGGGAATATATGTATTTCTGAGTTTCATCAGAGGGGGATTGTAAGAACCAGGACATCAAAGAGAAGACTGGGAGGAAGAAGTGAGATGATTGGTTTTGATGGTCAGTGGGAAATGGGTCAGGATAGTTCATATAAGCTGAAAAAAAATTCTCTCTTGTGTGTTCTTTTAGAGAATCTTATAGGAAATTGTAGGGATATCTAATTGCATCCATAATGAACTCCGAAGAGAGGTTAAATTTAGGGGCTTCTTCTGTTGTCCCCCTCACCCACTTTTATTTTTCCCAGAGTGTGAGCCAATTGATGCAACCAGTAGATGGCAGAAAGTTGTCAAAGTTAATGATTTTAATTCTGAGATTTATTCATAGAACCATGAATAACCTCACATATAAGATACTACCTCCCATTACTTCCCCCTTCCCCCTCCCCAGCTGAAAGAATGACATACTTAGTGATTTTAGACTATGCTTGGAATATGAACAGGAGCTCATATTATTTCTGACAAAGAGAGTTTGATCAGGAGTATAAGCGAGAACAGAAAGCAGGTTTTATTTTTTTCTGTAGCTTTGAGAGAGTCACATGTAGAATAAGAGCTTAATGAATGAGTGTGTTCTTTGAAGGTTGGCTGGCAAGATTGCTGTGCTCTGTACTGTCCTTGGGGGAAATACTTAAAACCTTTGTTTGTCAATTTTTCTTAAATTCCCAGTTAATTAAAGGTTAGAGGAACAATTAAAAATATGAATGGTATCCACATTAACTTCACTGAAACTATCTGTTTAAAAATCGTATCCATGCTCTAGTATAGGGGACTCT